CAACTCCCAGAATTCCCCAGCCAGCGAATGCTGGCTGGGGAATTCTGGGAGTTGAAGTCCGGACATTTTCAAGTTGCCAAGGTTGAGAAACACTGATCTAAGGGAATACTTGTAATATGTAAGTTAGATATTTCTGTTCTTTTTTTTAAGAATTCATTGGTTGCATAATCAAAATTTGCACTTATGTCGGTGGTGATTCTCAGTCAACCAGGTCATGGATGTCCCAAAGGTGCTTTTTCAAGAGGCAACTGGACTTTCTAGATTTTGTTTGAAGACATTTCACTTCTCATCCAAGAAGATTCTTCAGCTCTGGCTGGAAGCTCTGGCTGAAAACACAGGAATTGGAAACGTTCACCAAACATACCAACTTTGGACAGATACACCCAATTCACTTGGGAAGATCCAGCCAGAGCTGAAGAAGCTTCTTGGATGAGAAACGAAACATCTTCAAAGAAAAACCAGAAAGTCCGTCTTGAAAAAGCACCTTTGGAACAACTTACACTTACATGACTTTTTGCAGGAGTATTAAAGAAAATGTTTTTCCTCCCCTCCTACAGGTGGCGACAGACAAGGTTGCAGGGAGATTCAGTTCTACTCTCTCATGGGTGAAGAACACTGTCAGTCAAATGGCCAGCCAGGTGGCAAGTCCATCTGTTTCATTACACACTACATCCTCCTCTACCACACACTCCACGCCAGCAGTGTCTCCGTCATCGCCAGCAGAACTGAGTCCTGATGAGGTAGAGCTACTGGCTAAACTAGAAGAACAAAACAGGTTGGTGATCATCACTTTGACATTTATACAGGTAGTCCTTGATTTACAACAGTTTACTTAGTGACTTAGTGAAGTTACGACACTGAAAAAACTGAATTATGACCATTTTTCACACTTATGATTCAGTATCCTCATGGTCATGTGATTTACATTCAGATGCTTAATAACTAACTCATATTTATGACAGTCGCAGTGCCCCAGGGTCACGTGATCACCCTTTGCAACCTTCTCACAAGCAAAGTCAACGGGGAAACCAGATTTACTTAACAACCAGGTTACTAACTTAACAACTGCAAGGATTGACTTAACAACTGTGGCAGGAAAAATCATAAAATGGAGCAAAAGTCACTCAACAAAATATTCACTTAGCAACATAAATTTTGGGATCAATCGTGGTTGTAAAAGCTTCTTTTAGATATTTATTTAAAAATGCTTCCGCATGTTCCGAAGATATAAAATAAATTAACTGGGTTTGTCCTGTCAGAGAGAAGTTTCATTTGCTTTGTCCCACCATCATTATTCAATTTTGAAACTATTTATTTATTTAATCAACATCTGTAATGGTCTGGCTCAGAATGACTAACAACAATATACATGTGATTCGACCGGAAGTTCTCCAGCTGGACCAAACGAGGGAGGTGTGAGCTCAGAAGAGCCTCACATGAACTCTGTCTGACTAACCAATGCCGAGATCTTTTTGGATCAGAACCTCCCTGGGGGTGGGGGTGGGGGTGAAGAAGGGGCAGCATCTCATCAGACCCAGGTCCCTCGTAAGTCGGAGATTTGCTTTCTGAATTGGCGTCGGGAAGGCAGCATGGCAACATGGCTGCACAAAAGCTGGCTTCTGGCCAAAGCAACTGAACAGGAGCATGTAGGAGATGGGATGAAAAGCCTGCGAATGGAATGTGAAACCCTGAGCAGGAAGTTTTAATTAACCAGAATTTGGAAAAAGCAGGAGGCGAAGAGAAACATACCAAGGAGATTAGCTGTGTTCAAGTTCATTCCAATTAATATATTTTAAGCAACTCTAACTAATGAGAGGTGGAAGGTAACAAGGGGGGGGGGGCGGGAAATAAAATCAAGAACTTGAAAAATACGAAGGTGGTGGTGTTGTTTTTTTGCTGGAGGGAGAACAAAGGATCAAGATGGCTCCCGCTTCTCTTCCTCTTCAAATTACCTGAATTAGCTAAATTTAAGGTGGACCAGAACTCTGAAATAAGAACTGTATAATTAACTGTAATTTTGGAACTGGACATTATGAAAAGGTGGGAATTTGAAGAACTACGTGAAATTATTAAAAATATGCATAAATCATTAAAATCAAGTCTAAATAGAAATTTGAAGTTAGATATTGAGAAGAAGCAGGAAGTGAAGGAAGAAGGGGGGGATAATGAAGGGGTAGAAAAGGTGGAAAATAAAAAGCAGACAAAAAACTTCATTGGGTTTGACAGTGGCATAAGGAAAACTGAAGAGGGGNGACACACGATATACCTCGAGTGCAAACTGACAGTAGATGGGAGTTATTGTAAAGTCCTAGATCTGTCTGTCCCTTTTTTGAAAACGTTACCATGTTTTATGGTGTTAAACAATTTTATAAATAATCCACTGCAGTTGTTCCTAAATCTGTCTAAGTTAAGTCCTTACATTAAGTTTACATAGTTAATAAAAGAAATTGCTAGTGTTGTGGCTTGAAATTTTGATATATTGGTGCTAAGCAGTTGAGGCAGGCTAGAAAGGCCAGATTTTTCCTTGACAATGCAGTTTCTTACTCTGACTGAATGTAGAGATGTAATACACAAGAAGCAGAAGTGCTGACCTTTGCTGATCTTAACAAGTGCTTACTATTCTACAAATATCCAAATATATTTAAGTTTTTCGAGTGCTCTGGAAACTTGCTAAGAAGATAGGAAGCCAGCTTCCCTATTTCTGTAAAAGGCTTCAGCTATTAAGTTTTGTTACACTGAAATTATATTTACTTCTTTCAGGTTAGGTTAATGGCTGTGAAATTCATGGTAGCGTTAAATTTCTCTCTCATAAAAGCAAAGATTCTAAGCACTTATTTGGACTTAGTCATAACCAATGTCTGCTTTGCTCTTCATTGCTCTGGAGCTGATACTGTTCTCTTTCTGAAAGTGAGAAATGGATCCCAATTATCTGCATGCTCTGTTTTGCTTCTCCTTTAATTGCTGGCATACAGTATTTCCTGGTTTTATTACGCAGCTTAGAGATGGAGGTGGCGTATGACAGAATATTGGGGGGTGTGTGTGCTTTCCTTCACCTTTTATTTCCGATTTTTAATTTGCCTTTTTCCTATCTATGCTGTGGATTACTTTTGGCTAAGATCACAAATGACACTGAAAGGATTACAATCCATGCAGATAGTCCTCAGGCAATTGGGACTGGGAATTCCATCTCTAAGCAACCCAGTCATAGAGCATGATGTCATATGACGACATGCCCGCACTGACTTTCAACAGCATTCAGCCATTCCCGTCGTTAAGCATACCGCACACAGTTTGTTTGCTCATTAAAATTTTATGCTGCCCATCTGCCTTCTAAGGTGACTGTGTTCTTAAGTGTGACATCATGTGATTGTCACTTATGATCTCTTGCCAGCTTTCCCATTGACACTGCTTGTCAGAAGTGGCAGGGAAGGTCACACACACACATTCATTCATTTACTGAATTTATATAGCTGTCCATCTCACAAGGAGTGACACCAGGCAATGTACAGCAAAAAAATGTAAAAACAATAAACGTGTAAATGGTGATTATTTGACTGTGCGATGCTACAACCATTGTAATTGCAATCTGGTTGCCAAGTCCCTGAATTGTGATCCCACAAGTGATGGTGGCAACTTTGAGGACCAGTTGTCAGCCTCCTTGCTCAGTGCTGTCATTAAGCAAGTCATTAATCAAGGACTATCTGTACTTTTTCTTGCCCTCATGAAGTCTAAAAAAGTAGCTTGTTTTGGGAAGTTGACTTTTATGTGAAATAGTTTCTGTTCTGACCCCCCCCCCTCCCCTTCTCCGTCCAGGAACGAAAGCCAACACAGACGTACAAAAGAATGTTTTAATCAGTCCAGGCTCTTGTTGGCTGCAAGCCCAAATAAACAAAGATAATAGCTCTGGCAAAAAGTCCTAAAACACTCACACAGCACTGCAACCCAGCTTCTCTGATCAAGCCACTTATCCAAGTTGGCTTCTCTCGGTTTGTGAACGAGAACAAGAACCAGAACGTTGACTTCTGCAACCAGGGCTTGGCACAAACAGTTCCCTTTATACTCAGGAGAGGATCCCAATGAGCAACAGCTGCTNATTAAATGCCGTAACTTATCTTTGGCTCGGAGTGTGTGTTGGTGTGGGACAAGGGGGGTCAGAACAAATACCTATCCCTACAATGTTATAATTAAATAGAGTTTTGATTCTTTATATACTCCAAATCATGAGAGACTATAACAACTCCCTGCTGCCTCTGGCTAAGCTACTAGGGAAACAATTCTTAAGACAGCAAATCAGCTCAGTATAATAACTCTTAAGTATCTTAATAGGGTGTTGGCAGCAATATTTTAAAGTACTTTTTATTTCCAAAATAATTTTAGAAGAAATGATGCTGTTTTGACCATTAACCTGGTTTCATCACACCTGTACAAATCTTTACATGGTGATCCGGGCTTCCTTTAGTCCAACATATAATTAAGAATTGCTTCTGGGTTTAAATAACTGAGAAGAGACTTATTTCTTGTCTGTCTCTATATCTAGATCTGATCTACCTTATAAGTTAATGATAAATGACAGCAAAGGCAATGCAGGCAGTTTCCTATCCTTGTTGTGCTTCACTGAGTTCTTTATAGGTTGTCCTCATTTTCTGTGTTAAAATACTTTTCTTCTTGTTTAGACCATTGTCAGCTGGTTGATTTCACAGTCTCTTTTTCAGAAATGAGCCATTTTACACGTTCAAGCTTACTTTTCCCCCAACCAGCAATTTTTGAGTTTTACCCGCTTTCACGCATGGATAATAAGTTGTGGGTTTTGGGGGAAAGTTTCTGAGATTTTGGTCTGTACTTTATAAATTAAGATTATTTTTTTTAAACATAACCATCTTTTGTTTAATATAGGGACGAAAGGAATATTCTTAACAAGTTGGATGAATTGGCTGGTGTCATCACTTATAAATGTAAACGTCTTCCCTTGCAAACTACAGGAACTATTGGCCTAGATTTGATAAATGCGTGGAATTCTAAAATGATTACTTTGTGTATTTGGTGGGGGAATCCTTGGATCTGAGCAGATGTAGAAGTGTTTACAGAAATACGTTTATGAAAAAGAAGAAACATATTTTCTCTGGGGAACGTAATATAAAATACTTTTTATTCAACTATCAGGTTAAAGAATGGGTTAAGTCCCTCCCCTCCTTCAAAGTTGGTTTGGTTCAGTCCCAGTGAACAACTAATCTTATTTGCAAAAGGTAAATCATTAATGGAAAGGAAATGGCTTACAGTACTTTGTGCTTATGGCATTAAACTCAATCTTGTCAATTAAAAAGCTATGAGCCTATTCAGGTAAGATTTTCATAATAGAATAATGATCAATATTTTGCAGTATGGGTGTTTTTTACATTGTGGTTTTATAGCATTAGAGCTAAAAGTATTTTGGGTTTTTTTTTTTTTTGCTTTCAGAATATATCCTGCATTTTCTAAGCTTGGTCTGGAATTTGGACTTGTTTGTTGTGAAGCTTGTAAAGAACAGCTTCTTGGAACAGTGCCTTGCAATTTTGCTAGGTTCATCACAATTTCACACCTATATTATTAGAATCAAAGAAGTAGCATAGTATTTGAAAATTGAAAGAATATACGCAGGAGCTCTTTCATGAATCCTGTAGAAGCGCACATACGATTATTTATTTATGTATTTATTCAGTTCCTGGGGCCACCCGTCTCAGTCGATAACTCTTCATTTCATGAACTTATTTTCTTAAAATGGGTGTGGAAGTCAAAATCAGCGTGGAGACACAATAATATGATGGAATAAATGGCAGGGGAGATGTTTAATTTCTTTCTATTCCTGATCAGTTTCCCTGACAGATGGTGCCTCCCCTGTGCCTGGGGAGAGAGGCTAAATTTTTCAAGCCATAGTCCATGTAATCTCTTGAGAAAGGTGTTGAAATGTATGGTGTGCCTATGCTCCTTTTGAACTCTTCCCAGGTTCTCAAAGTAAAATTTCTTACTGGGAATTATAATTCACCTGAAGAGATAGGATCTTTTATAAACAAATTATATATTTTTGTAGAATATACAAATACACACACACACACCCAAATCAACTTTATTAAAAGTGACAAAAGAGAATAAGGTTCTACATTCTCAGCATGTAATATAAAAAGAGATAAAATAAAATAACTATTCTCTCCAACACAATTCTATTTTACAGCTTGCCTGAGGCAGCCCGTCCCATCCAGGATTTCAGCCCCCTGTAAAACCCTTAATCCTCTTCCTCTTCAAAACATTCTTTCCGTATGTTGGCTGTCAAGCATGGAGACATACTACCTGTTGGGACCGGTTCGCCCGAACCGGTAGTAAAAAATGCTACCGGTTTCCCCGAGCCAGCTGTACAACCATCAGCTGTGCCGCACAATTTATATTCGCTAGAAAGCAGGAAATCCGGCTTCCTAGTGAATGTAAATCACGCGGCACAGCTGTTCTCCCCCCCCCGTTTCTACTTACCTTTGCAATGGCTTCCTAATCCTCCATTTTCAGCGCTGCGCGGTGTGCATGTGCACATGTGTGCACTAAGCAAACCGGTAGCAGACTTCAGAGCATTTCATCCTGCTCTCAAGGGTGAGGTTGGAAGAATTGAATAAAAGCTGTGATCTTTACATTAGATCAATCATTGGGTGATGGGCGTCTTTTAACCATTTTCTATGTTAATGCAATTTTTCTAGTATAACATCTGTTGATGTTTTTAGACCAGCAGCACTTTCAGTTCCAGATACAGCTAAATTATTAGAAGTGATCACCAAATCCTTTCTGGTAAAAAAAAAAGAGCCCACAATTAGTCTTTAGAAATATTTGTTATCAATAAATTTAATGCAGTGATTTTAAAAAGTGTATTTGCCTAAAGGTGGGAAAGCACTTTAATATTGGTGTCAAAAATGTCAGAAGTTCTTAGACTATAGGTTTTTTTTTTTTACATAAATGATATTTTGGATATACTGAATTATTATGTATGTTTGTATGAAAAGATAAATCACTATTGTTGGAATGCAGTGAGTATCATGCTTTATTTATTTATTGATTAGATTTGAATGCCACCTGATTCCCAACAATTCTGGGCAGCTCATTAAAACATATATTTTTTCAATGCCCTAAAATTATTAGATGTTATAAATGTGTTAATATATTTCTGGGAAGAAATAATGTTGACTTGCATGATCATGCTCTTTTGAACTATTTACCTATTATATGGGAATTGATGGTTGAGCAATGCAAATTGATTTTCCATGTCATTCTTATTGCTAGAGAATTCATCATATGCTTGTTCTTTCCAATACTGATTGTTCAGATTAGAAAGCTGAAGTTGCTTGCAATTTATGAACAAGGTTTTTTTTTATTTATTTACTTATTTATTAAATGTATATTGACACCTATCTTGCAATTCAAAGTGACTCATATTTACCTAAATTAGATGTAGATGATTATAATTAAATATAGTCATATTTCATTGAAATTTCTGTGAAGAATTTATAATACATATTATAATATGTAATATGCATCTCATGCATGTAAATATAATTAGACAACCTATGAGCCATTAGGTCAATCTTTCAGAGATATTTCCTTATCTATATCAAGAAATAGAATGATCACGGGAAGCCAAAAAAGCAGTGTGAGTAGGAACAGCATTAACTTCCCCATTGATTTTGCTTGTGAGAAGCTGGCAGGGAACATCGCACATCATGATCATGTCACTGCAACCAACTGCAGAAACCTGCTGCCGTCACAACTTTGTGAATACAACTAGTTTGAAGAGCCTTAACATTTCCATTACCCAGGAGTAACATGAATGTTGTGTATGCATTGTTTAACTTAATAGATTTGCAGTACTTTGATTCAGAAATGTTTGTCCTATGATGCATTGCTTGAGCTAATTGAAGGTTACAAACAGACAACAATTTTAGTAGTTTATAAATACATGCATAAAAAGTTTTTTTTTGTCCTGTTTAATCAAAGGCATAAAAGTTCATTTTAAAAAAAAAGTTAAATATGGTTGTAGCTTGAGAAACGCCTTGTACATCGTTAAATTCTGTTATACAGTCAAGATATAACAAATGAAATCTATGCAAGAAAATAGAATTTGTCTTGCAGTCATATTTTCTATGAATGAAAGAGCAATGTGTTGAATTGAATTGAATTTATTATATTTCTATGCCGCCCTTTTCCCAGAAGGGACTCAGGGCGGCTCACAACCCAAGTCAAGGGGGGGGGGGGATAGGGGATACAAATAGGGAAAAAAAGACATGGACAAACAATACCACAATTTTAAAAACAACTCAACAGGCACACCATTCGAGTGGGGACAGGAGCGGGGACATCAACCCCAGGCCTGTCGGAACAGCCAGGTTTTAAGGGCTTTGCGGAAAGCCCGGAGGGTGGTGAGGGTCCGAATCTCCACGGGGAGCTCTAGTGAAATATATTTAAGTGTTTCTGCTGGGGTTCTTTTTTTTTAATGGAAATTTTGAAAAAAAAAAAAAACTTTTACAAATATTTACTTCCCTCCCCGCCACCCT